TCGCCACTTCCGTTATTCAATATTTCCCTAGCCCGCAACAGCAACAACAACGACATTTTCAAAATAAACAAATTGTTTAACTCAATTGTGAAATTCGAGCATCCGATAAGGCCACTTGGTCCTCCCCAATGTCACTCTTGTCAAATGTATGGACATACACGCAATTATTGCCACCAACCTCCGCGTTGCGTGAAATGTGGGTTAAGCCACCTCACCGAAGATTGCTCTAAACCACGGGAAGAACCCGTTAAATGCGCCAACTGTAACGGTAACCACACTGCCAACTACAAAGGTTGTCAAATTTTTAAAAATTTACTAAAGCGCACCATTTACAAAGTCGCTTACAAAGCTGACAAAGTTGAAAAACCGAAAAAACACCCCAGCCCACCATCTGCTGTACCTGTTGCACCACAAATCTTCAACGTCCCCAGTTACAACTCAAATCAAAAACCGACATCTTATGCCAAAGCCACAGCCAACTCTTCATCAGTCAATCAACCTCTCCACATCATCAACAAATTTATTGAAGATTTAAAATGTATTTTAAACCCTCTTCTATTGGCTCTTACTTCCCTAATTAACAAAATTACACTTCCCATTTCGTCCACTCCATGACATCCCTCACCCCAAGTTAGAGGGTACCCACACTGGTGGGCCTCCCTCCTCAAGCCATTCATGTTATTATTGTTTCTTTCATTACCTAATTTACTTATTGTATCATAAAAATTACAGATTGTAAATATTCTATTTATCTAATAAAAAAAAAAAAAAAAAAAAAAAAAAAAGGTAATATATAAATGGTATAATATTGTTACTAGAGCTCTAAAACTATTTGCGTTTTATAATAAAAACGAAATACTATTATTATTGTTGCAGTTTTATATCACTTTAAATAGCATAAAAAAATTGTGTTGTAGGTTAGTGATTTGTATATGTATGCAAGTAAATGTCCCATGAGAGGAATGAGATAACGGCTTTCATACACTAATGTACATTTACTTTCTTTCATTGACATATCACTAGACAGCACACAAGACAAATTGCCTGTGTTAAATTCACTTAAGTAAAATTTGCTCATTGGTGTTTTCTCATACACTTATTGCAAAGATTATTATTTGAGAAAAATTACTTTCACCAATATAATTTAATTATTTTTTAATTTTATATTCCTTTTAAGTTGCATTATTTTTGTGTTATCATTATTCTTATTGAAGTTCTTCATAACATCCGAATTTGTTTGTTATCTTTGTCTTAAAAATGTGACATGACTATAACACTGGAATTTTGCGTACCTTATAGTACAGTTTGTACAGTTTTTATATTTAGTTGTTGATAAGTAATCGCTAGATTGACATAATAGGAACTTAACAAATTTGTTATTCATAGTAAAGATAAAGTTTTAACTTATCATTTATTAAAAATCGTAATTTTTCTGTATAATAATACATTTTACTTAAAAATTTATAAAAAATTTAAATTTCGGAACTATTGAAACTTTTATTTTTATTTATATTATATTAATATTAAAAAAAGTTTAAAAACATACTTTAAATTATACTGGAAATAAGTTTTTACATTGTATGATCCATATATTAAAATTTTCAATTTTATATAAAAATAAGTCTTTCAAAAGTGACCTTTACTTGAAATTGTTTAATTTTCATATATTCATGTCATAGATCACTAGTTTCTTCTACCCAAAATCTAGAAATGTTCATAAATGAAAGAAGAAAGACATTATTAAACTAATACTATCTCGTGCAAAGCATACAGCTTATAATGTTTTATGCTATGTATGTTTTAAACAAAAAGTTAAATGCAGTGTTATATTCTGTCTTAAACTTAAAAATTATAATACCTTTAGTTTCTGTTCTTAAAGTTAGCGGTTACATTAATGTATAAATATGATCTTTTAAAACAAAAAATAATAATTAAATAGTAATCAATTATTATTTTAGTTGAAGTGTTTTTTAGTATATTATATCATATTATTATTATTTTCATTGCCATAATGTCACAATGAAGTAAGATTGCTTTTAAATGTTATTTAAGGTGTTTGGGGTTTGTGCCAAATTCATACGTTAATTTGACACGTGATAAAAGTAATAATCAGATAATCTTATTATTTATTAATGTCGTTCATGCAATGATGTGCATTGCATTTTAGAAAGTTGTTTTACTTAATAGACCATCAAATTATTCATTCAATTATTACCTCCTTTTTTTTATCTACGAAAATTTAGTTGAATCTTTTAGATTATATAATTTTATAAAATGTCTAAAACATTTAATGGTAAATTCCCATAAAAAATTATTTTATAATATTAATAGTACTTACCTACATACAAATCTGGATATCTGACACAATAATTGATTGTAAACATGTAATTTAAAAAAATAACCATGGATATACCAGTGATCAATTATAACAACGTTGGATAAGGTTTATTACCTTACCGGAAAATATAGCTATCCAATTTAATATTAAATATATTTATGTATACTTTATATAGATTAGGTCGTGTATAAAGATGTATAGGTACCCAAATATATATTGATTTATTAAAAAGTATTAATTGTAATTATTGTAGTCATTATTATAATTCATGACCTAATATAGATACTGAAAACTAATAACTAAGTGAAACATGATGAATGGCCACGATTAAACTATAAAAACTGCACAATATTGAAGTATACTTTCATTCGACGTAATTTTAAGCCGATCAAAATGTGTTTTGGAAAAATCCTGAATGTCAATACATGAATTACTCAGTCAGGCGTTGAAATGTATTGTATTCGATGTGTCAAATAATTCATCTGTTTTGAAACAGAACTACCAAATGGCTTTTTTTTTTACTAGAATATTATTCGTAATTTCGCTGAAGTTATAAAGTTTTATTATAAGTGTCATGATAGTTTAATTAATCATGTAACTTTTAAATGGCTAATTTATTGGATAAGCCGATTACCTCTCATTAGTATAGGAACATAAATAATTTCGACTGTTGTATTAATGTTTTACAGGCAATTTACAATTATTATACTGATCCGTATAATTTAATAAATTGTCTTTAAGATTTCGCGAATTTTTTTTTTCGGTCCCAACTACGAGAACTCGACAACTTATAGCCATTTAACCGGCAATGCCATTCCAATTAGCATATATCTGATATACATATACCTACACGGGGAAAAGCTATTTGCTCTCTTTTAATTACTTATATTCGTCTTCTCTTTCACTATAATATACCTACGTGTAGAATCAGAATCTAGATTGTAGATTTTTATTTTTTTTATAATAGTTTATTCTTTGGATTTACGATAGGTATTCTGTACAAAATGTTAAATTTAATTCTTAACTCTGCTAGTAATATACATATATTGATATTGAAACAATACACATAATACTGTTCAATTCTCATAATATCATCTCTTGAATTACCATTGATGCTTATTGTTGGGTTGTCGTGAATTTTAATGTTATTATAACTTCATAATATTTACAATTTATGTGTACTCGTACGATAAATATAATAAAAAGTGAGTTAGTGGATGTCGCTCTGCTGTATAGAAGGTTACAAGTGGATCATTGTATAATGGATTGTATTAAACTTGAATTCAATGATATAATATCATTGCATAAGAAAAACAATTCTGAGCGGAGACGGGTTGTCAGTCTGGATATTTGATATTGTTATTATTTATTGTAATATCATGTAAGTTGAATTAATATTATAATATTATTATTTTTTATTCGTAATTTTTCGGTGGTTTTTCCCGTGGCATTAAATAACTGTTGATAAAATCGAAAAATGACCTGTCTAAAGTACCATCTTGATCCAATTTTCTAAAAGATAAGGTACTATATGTCGAAATCGAAGCACTCCTTCTGGTAGAAATTTTGTATACAGGATATAAAAAAAAAAAAAATAAACATCATTGTAAAATCACTAGCTTCCTCGCTCCGCTCAAAATCTAAAAATATATTATATATTGGAACATTGAATCGTATTTTAATATTTAATAAAAATAATAATATACATATAATGCAATTTCTTAATTTAGTTAATTAGTATAGTTGTCTATTAATTTGTATGGTTAATGGTTATGTAGGCTAAGAATTACATTTCAATATTAAAAAGAACCCTAAGTTCGTGTTTGTTCTTATTGATAACTCAATTAAAATTTGAATAGATCCCTTGATAATTTTCAAGAATGTGAAAACCAGGGTTGGAAAAATGCTTTTTTTTCTTTTAATTGTTTCGTGATTAAAAAACATATTTTATAACTACCTATTTAATTTATTCTGTATTTATTCGTATAACTTTGACCTAGTTGAAAAATATTTTTTTCTAGACAAGACGTTTGTGCCCTATCCTACGACCTCCAGACTACCACCTGATTAGTGTTCATAAACAGATCATGGACTTCTCTTCGCAATACAAATTAATATGTTTTTAGACAAGATAATCGTAATAAACTAGACATTTTTTCATATATTTGAAACCTAAACATTGTTATTAGTTGTATTTAAATAACTCAATTGTTTTAATAATGTATTTGTTTCTATTAATTTTATATGACTCAGAGAAACTTATAAATAACTATGGTATTTTATGATTTATACTCTCAATCACGATTTACTGAAATTTAGTTTCTTTTTAAATATTTAATACAAAAGTTACTGTTTTAAAAATTAAAAAATTAAAAGTTAATGCTATTTAAGGCATAAAAGAGTTGACAATTTTTTAATAACAGCTTAAACACATATTTTTTAGACGAAAACAAATAAATATTTTACTTTTACTTAATAACTTTATAACTGTTCTGCACTGCAGGTTTATAATTGAATATTCACACTGTTTAATGTATACGATTTATATTCTATTTCTTAATTAAAAATTTAAACTTTAGATGTAAAATTGAAAACTTTGTAAATAATAAATGTATTTTTAATTTATGACGAATATTATACTAATTTTATTTTATTTTTATAGTATGCAGTTTTGTTGTGCACAAACGATGTCACGAATTTGTTTCCTTTACTTGCCCCGGAGCTGACAAGGGACCTGATTCTGATGTAAGTAATCCAATTATTATGATTTTCCTAACATACATTTAACATTGTTTTTTTTTTCTGAATTGATAATTTCTTTACAAACATAATGTGCAGGACGACCACTATACGTTTAGATCAGATTATTTAGATTGCTAATATAATGGGCTAATATTGTAATGTGTACATTACAAAACAACATATATTGCGTTAAGTCATGTTATGTTGCAATCTAAAGCATATTTCTTGCATTCAGTATTTTGTTTCATATATTGTAGAACGGCGGCTAGTATAGGCAATATTGATACACTTATGTTGTCGATCCAACAAAACGTATTTATTAGCGTATAATTAGTAATTATATATAATATGTAATGAAATAAAATAAACTATTGGTAACTATTTCATACTTTTAGTTTTAAACTAATTAAATGGCTCTTAATATAATTTTTTTATTTTAACTTTTGTAGAATAATTACTACATAGTGATGTAATTTGTACCTATGGTTTTTTTAATCTTTATAGTTAAATAAGGGTTAAATCTTTTGAATACTGAGTTCAAAACCGTATTAAATAATGGTTTTATAATTTATAGACTCAATATTTTGGATTTAACTCAACATTTAGTTTAAATTGAATAGTTAGACACATACCAAAAAAAAACTATAAGTAGCAGTTTGCCCTAACTATACTAGGTTTTGCTTCAATTTTTTATCACACGACAGTACATTTTTTTTTGATTCATTGAAATTATTTTTGTTTCAAAATATAAAATGCTTGTATAATTTATTTTTAAATTGTATTTATTGAATATTCATAATAATATTTTTTTTGGCATTTTCTGTGATAGAAATATAAACACTATAATTTTAAAACAAAAAACAGTAGTATTGGTATGCAATTTAATTTAATTTTTGTTTTAAATCGATTTTTAATGTATTTTTATTTAGCTAGGTACCTATATTGTTTTATAAATCATAATATTGATATCATGTATAGTTACACGTGAATATATTTAATATTATCATTATAATCATTATTCACTTAATTGAGATTAAAATTATTTATGAGTGTTTTATTATATCCTATTTGGTGTGTACTGTAGACAGATAGAAATATTTTCGAATTTTTTAATTCATATGGCTTAACTTTTATTCATTACGAAAAACGTCATTATTGAGAAAAAAAATATTAATGAAAATTCTTGAAATGTTTTGATTACTATAAATCGTCGTTTATTTTACAATTTTATAACATGGGGTTGATGTTTTGGCGAGTAATCAATTGGGGTGTATATTTATTACGTCGTAATGATGTACTGAAGATCACTCAGTTATGGAATTTAAGCTATGAAATTTATAGTTTTAATCTTATAATGTCCTCTGAAGCAATTATATCTTCATTATATATGTGTGCCACAGCTTCTAGAGATCATAAGGTTAGAATTGGGTCATGTCTTTGGTAGCGAAAGCACGCACATTAAAAAGGTGTAAGCTCGCAAGCGACTACATAGAGGCACGCGTTGTTGTAAAACGGCGATCGATGACCAAGCTCAACAGATGGCAACAATACATGCGTGCAATGTGTCCGACCTACAATATTATAATATTGTGTATATTATTGTTGTAGTATATTATTTGTAAAACAAGTGTTATCCAAAATTTTAGTTTAGTTTAGTTTATTATTTGTGTGTAACTTTGTCTGTAGGCTGTTAATGTTAAAATTTAAATTTGAATGCTGAATTTCGGAATTTGTTTTTAACAAACTCTGTCTTTTTTTCGTAGATTTCACATAAACGTGTAATTTTAGTGATATGACTTGTATAAAGATAAAATAAGCATGCATGTATGCTCTAAAATATCCCCAAATATATCTTAAAGATAGGCAAAAACACTTTGTACATTTTTATCTCAAATGGTATGACGTTTATTTTTTTGTATTCATATTCAAAACGCCCTTTTCTTTATATATTTATCTCCTATACCTTATTCATCTCTAAATGTAGTTAAAGTAGGTACTAAAATTGTTTCTTAATTGCAATTAAGCTTTTGTGTTTATATTTTTTAATTATGTTTCTATTAGTTTTATTTGTTTATTATATCGCTTATGTAACGTTTCAACCTATCATTCCTACAAGTTTGTGATTTTATATAATTAATGATAAAACCCATCTCTTATACTCCATCCCCATTCCCAAGTGACCTATACAAAACAGCTGCCTACTTCCTACATAATTTTCTTAACTCCTGTGAATTATGTTCCACATTTTTTTTATTTGAATTTTGGCTACAATTATACAAAGATAAACATATATCTTAAAAATGTCAATAATACGTTAGGTATTTGGATTAATAATATTACTCACAATAGTTTGCTTGATAATTGCTTTAATATATTTAAAATATAACCCATAGATGTGTTTCTTAAATATTTTTTAATTTAATAATGATTTGAAAAAAATATTCACTAGGTACTTTTATAATATTTTTGTAATGGGTGGGTCCTTTCTTTTATTACATAAATTACCTTTTTATATATTTTTAAAGAGAATAAGACATTTTAAAATTTTAATATTATTTATTTGTTAAGTGTATAAAAAATATTATATTAAAAGGACAAACATTTATTTTGTCCTCAATGATTGGTAAAATTATTTTATTTTTAATAGTTATCTACAGTATTTTTTATTAGAAATTAATATTATTATAGCTTATTATAGCCTTATTATTGTAATTAGATAATACAATTTTATTTTGTCCAGTGTATCATAAACTAGCTCTTTCACTAATTATACACATTGTAAGTTAAGTTATGCCATTTAGATATTAAAGTTGAATTAATTACTATTTAATCCTCTTAAAAAAATAAACCGTATTTTTAAAGTGTATGTTAATGTATACATTTTGATAATATAGATATCATACTACACATTTTTTAATATTTTTTTTTATAAGCATTTAAAGTTCAAATTTCGACAAAATTTTTCACATTCAAAATGTAATAGTAATTTTGTATTTAAAAATTTATAAAATGTTCAACTTTTATAGCTAAGGATTGTAAATTTAAAACAAGATTTCCCGTAAATAGGTTATATATAAATTATTTTATTCACCTTAATATCATCAAATATACTTAGTATTATCATAGGCTGACTGACCGTTTTCGCTCAGAATCGTTTTTCTCATACAATGATATTATATCATTGAATTCAAATTTAACACCGTCCATTACAGTGACTCACTTGTAACATACTGTAGAGCAGAGCGATATCCACTTGCCCACCTATTTTTGATTAAACTTCATTAAAAGAAGTTATTCGTTCTGTAATTTGTTATGAGTTATAGATATTAAATTTTCACCAAATAATTTATATTAGCATTTTCTAGAAATTATATCATTTTCAAAATATCTTAGCTCTTTTTAAGTTATTAATAAACAGTTATTTTTCTTAATTTATGTTACTTTTTATGGTAATGTTAGGTACCATATACTAGCATATATATAATAATTCGAAAGGGAATGGTTAAAATATTTTTATAAATTAAGTTAAAGTAAAAGTAAAATTTTGAAGCTTGTTAAATTGTATTTACTTGGTCGTATAGTAATAATAATTTAATAATTTTTATGAGAACGCTTCACAGACATTTGTCGTCTCCGTCTTACAAGTGCGTGACATAGCAAGTTTTGCCCTCAGCAGATCACTTTTAGCTCCGTTGGTTTAAAAATAAGAGTAGATTAAAAACTAAAATTTAAAGGTAAGATAAATTGTTAGGGTAATTCACAGGTTTTTTATTATATTTTAAAATTTTAAATTATTTGTTCAATTCACTCTTATTTTTAAACCAACGGATCTAAACTTGATCTACTGGGTGTAAAATTTGCTATGTTACGCACTTGTTAGACGGAGACAACAAATTTCATCTTAATGGTATATTACAATCATTGCGAATATAATAGTACTTACGTTTTACAGAATATAAGTAATAGGTTTTTGTTTAGTAATATTTTTTATATCATTGATTTATTATAATTATATACTTTTAAGTTTTAATAGTATCTAGGGTATAAATATATTTAACTTGATTATTTTATAAGGTCGTGTTATATTAAGTAAACTGAACATATTAAAAAAAATAAAAAATTGAAGTTTATTTTAATTTATGAGTAGGTTTACTACTTACCTAAAGTATAGGTAGAACTCATTAACCAATTTTTAGTTTTTTAGTACAATATTTTAATAATTTGTATGTAGTTAATATACAATTAAATAAATAAAGGGGATATTCATTTACATTTTTTTAGTACAGGGGAAATTGTTTCAATAAAATAGTATTATATTTGTAAATAAATACGTTTTGTTGGAAAATCATTTAACGTGTAAAATACTCTGGACCATAAATATATATTTTTTTTAAATGAGAACATAGACTTATTGTATTAATTTATGTTTTTTCAAGTAAAATGTGTACAGTAATATATAGTTTTGTATACAATATTTAATTATTTATTATTAGTAGATCGGTTGATTAAAAGATCTCGAACGCAGATTGTGTGAATAATTCTTTAAAATAAACATATTTTGATAATACATTACATTTTTAGTAATAATATCCCAATGTATGTATGTGTTTTTTATGTACATATAATATAATAGTGAAATTAATCAGGTTTTAAAAATGTAATTTTTTTAATAAATTATACGTTTTATTATCTTTATACAATATTTGATTCAATTTTACATAGTATGAATTGCGTGACATATTTTATTATGAAGCGATTGATTCGTTAAATGTATTATTGTATTATTTTAAAATTTTTCATTTGAATTTGGATTTAGATATATATATAAATTAATTTTCAACGTAAAATCAAAAACAGGCTATTTGTTATAAATTTTAATTTTATAAATATGTACCTAATATTTACACAATTCATTGGTCGTTGTTAAATATTTTCATATTATTTTAAATATCGTATAAAACAAATTTATTTCAAATAAAAATCATAATATTTAAAAACGAGCTATTTGTGTTAATATATATATTGTATATGCACATTACTCGTATATGTTTGTTTTATTATGTATATTATGACTATATTAAAAATATATATACGTTTAACAAGTAACATTTTTACAATTGTTTTAATTAGCCGTATCAAAGACACTTATAGAATAAATTTAAGATCGATGATATTAAATATATATTAAAAGGTATGTTAAAAATATTCCTTTTCTGTTAATATGGTTACCTATATTGGTTAGTTCAGCAGGCTTTGAAGTTTTTAAATCGTTTTGGTGTATTTTATTTTCTTCTTCGATTTATTTGTTTTTATTTTGTAACGCAATATTTTCTCTGGCTAGTCTTCCAGGACCAAACACAGGTTCAAAGTGCATACCTACGCTAGTCCGGCATTTTGCGACCATTGTGGCTCATTATTGTACGGTATCCTACATCAGGGAATGAAATGTGAAGGTCAGCAAATCCGAAACATACATTTTTTTTTATCATTTACCTATATTAATATATATTTATATTATTTTTAATTTCTTCGTTTTTTGAAAACAATACTCATGTGTTTGTATTCTTATTATTTTGTTTGTTCTGAATTCTACCTGAATGCCTGCCTGTGTTCTCTATATTACTTTTTATAACATTATTTTAATTTTAATTTTTAATTACAACGAGCATTTAAGCATAGACTTGCTATTTAAAACCACTATACGTACTCTTCTTAAAGCTTGCACGAGAGTTTTCAAAAATAATAATCGCGACGCATTAACAAAAACGGTGGTGAGGTGTATGGAGAGAGACCAGTAACCACCATTCTTGCGGAACCAACAGCCAACAGCCCTAATTAACTACTAATACATTTTGTATACGCTTTGCGTGTACACTTTATATATATATATATTATACAATAGAGTTTTGGGAGATGTTCACTTTGCCCGGTTTGAATCATCTTTGAGGATATAACATTGCCACGATGGTTAGCCGCGGGGACTCAAGTTTCGAAGTATAATATATATATTATGTACTGTATAACTTACGGTAGCTGCACAAAATTACTGTTAACTATAGAACACGCGGAATAAAAAAATCAAATATTGTCTGAAATCGCGTAGGTTTTGAGGTTTTAAACAAAACAAAATATAAAAATGGTTTGAATAAGGTATACTTATAGGTATTTTAAACGTTTTAATTTAATTTGTTTAATTTTTCGTGATAATATTATATAAGTACCGATACATTCAAGAAATGTGTGTAATATATTTACTAACTTTATTATTGTATCTAATTAATGATGCCCTCTCGTTTGTTTTTTTTAAAAATTATGATAATATGAGACTACAGTATTTTATATTTTGAATTAAAAAGTGTCTCGCTTCAGTAGGTAAAAGTTCATTTAATTTCTTAACGTTTAAAATTTGCTAAACATGAGTTGTTCTGATGTCATATTGAATTGAAATATAGCGGGGAATTGAAGTTTAATCATTACTTTAATTAATACAATTGGAGGTTTTGCATTGCGTATCATGATAATATAGCTATGCAATATATTTATTATGAATGTTGCTCACCCAGTCACCCTTATGTTTGATATTTACCTTCATCGCATAATTTATTACTCACCAATTTTTATCAATTGTTTGGAACTTAGACGCAGCTTATAAATAAATAAAAATAAATTTTGTTTGTTAAGTTATAACATTTAGGTACTTACAGTTGTCATCAGATATCTCGACACCGTCTGGTCGGCGCAATAGCGTCAAAACAATGGTTCTCAACATTATTTACGTAATTTACTATGGCTAATATAGCAATAAATAGTATTGTAACATTTATTATCTGGTATATTTTTGGATTTATCATGGAGTTATAGTCATTAATATCACGTGACTGTACGCAACGTATGATTTGGAGGCATGTTGTGGCAGTGCGGCGTTGGTAGCGGTCACGCGGTGTTAGTACGGGGATAATACCATTTTGAAAACATAATATACTGAAACGTCGCATGGTCGGTGCCAAGATATCTGACGACGATTGTTGTAAATTAACTATATTAAATTCGATTTTAATAGGTAATCGCATTGGATTTATCGATATATTGTAACAGACGTGATCAATGTTTTTGATTTTTGATAATATATAGTTCAATAAACACGTATCATGCGTGGGCTATACACCCACACTCGATACACGATTAAAACCATTCAGTGTTTAGAAAATTTAAACTTAAACAATGTATAACGTTAGCTTATTATTATAGTCTATGACCTCATTTAAACATTTTCCTTTAAAAATATATTTTTACGGTTTTTCATTATTTTTTATTAGAGGAAGTGTACTTTATTTTTAATCTAACACTTTAATCAATTATTGTTTAAATAAAAACATATAATTTACTTGTTATTAAAAAATTATATAAATATGCACACTTGTTAGATTGCTTATATGGTTTTATCCTATACAGTATAGGACATAGGTACCTTCACTAATAAATATTTCGTCATAAGTTTTTTATATAGTTTTATATCTATTATAGTTCAGGACGGTCACCTAAAATGTTTAGAGATGCATATAGGTTTCTACCATATGAGGGGAATGGCGATATCTTACTCTATAATCAATAGGTAAGTTACCTATTAGTAACTCTTGGCTCCATCGTCTTATAGTCCATTCAGCTGCTCCTTCCCCATTTATATATTTAGCAGATATCTCTTAGGAACTTTTTTAATTTATAAAGTAACACTTATAAAACAGACTATAGGTAATCATAATAGCACTTTAATTTTTCGCTCAAAACTTTATTTCCTTGTATT